CACCCTTACTCGTCTCCAATCGTCGGGAACAATATTGAGCTCCAAGAACTGATTGTACAAGTTCAACATGCGCCTCTTAGCGACGTCTGGGAGGTTTTTCAGCAAGTTGAACTTGATTCTATCAGATCCCGGGGCAGAATTGCCACACGAAAGGAGAGCGAGTGAAAGTTCCACCATTGAAAAAGGCTGACTGATTTCGTCTACCGAATTCGCGGTTTCGCGAGGAATCAACTGCGACGGCACGGAATCCGGACACACTTTTCGCGCGAATTTAAGAATCCATTGACCCGAGCATTCCTCGCTTTCGTTGTTAGTAGACCGGTTACGCATTCTTCGCGCCGTACTCCAAAGCGTATTCATAGACGTTTCGCGCGACAATCCGTCTACAAACTGCCGCCAGTAACCCCGTTTTTTGGCCTTGATGAGGCTCTTGAGTTCGCGTTCAAGAGATGTGTATGCGTCGAAATGCTCGCGTGTTCCGCGTTTCCGAAAAAGTTTAAACGCGTCGGACTTTTTACGGTAAACCTCCGTGCATTGTTGATCCCACCAGAGCGATGGTGTTTTCTTACGAATAGACGATCGCGGCACCGGTCGTGTTTGAGCTTGAAGTGCGCTGTCGACAATGAGATTAGAGAGGAAATTATATTCCTCCAACGGCGGAAGCTCTTCCACTGACGATACTGTATCGTCTATCGCGGATTGGAACTTAGTCCAATCAATGTTACGGGTTAGATCATACGCGACGTTAACGGATTCTGACGAGTTGAACCCACTGGCAATCGAAATTTTGATCGGCAGATGATCACTACCGTGCGGATCCTGGATTACATGCCAAGTGCAATCCAACGATAGTGAATTGGAGCAAAAGGTGAGGTCTAATCTGCTACCATTCGAGGATGGACCAGCCAAACCAGTGTTACTTCTCCATTGTTAAGTATTGTCATGTTGAAGTTGTCGCAGAGATCATAAATCAAAGTAGAACGGTTATCATCGTACAGCTCCCCCCAGCCTGTACCGTGGGAGTTAAAATCTCCCATGATCAACCATGGAGCGGGAAGTACCGCACATATGTCGAAAAGTTGTTTGCGATTAACAGAGACTCTAGGAGCAATATATACAGAAGCAATACAAAGGCTCTTACCTTTAATGGTAGCCTGACATGCGACAACTTCAATACCGGAGAATTCGGGAAGATTCACTCTATAGAAGGAATGGCACTTTTTGATCCCCAAAAGTACCCCTCCTCCACGTGAATCCTCACGATCCAATCGAATAATGTTAAAATCAAAAAAAGGGAGATCAATTTCTGAAGAGAGCCATGTTTCACAGAGGGCAAATGCATCGCAATTATTGTTATGGACTAAATACTTGAACGAATCTAATTTCGGAATAAGACTTCGACAATTCCACTGTAGAACAGTGATCAAATCCCCGACCTCGTTTGGAAAATTATCCATCGAAGGAGATGATAGCTGCAAGAAGGGGCCATTTTGAAGTCAATTGCTTCAAGAAGGATTTCACAGTCGGAAGCAATGTGAGGACAATGCTTTTCAGAGGATCAGAAATGTTGAGGTATTTGAGAATACCGTCCACAATGTCATCAAATGAGAACAGCCCAGATGAAGAAGGGGTTTCTGTTCTTAAAATTGGGGCATCAGGGGTTTTGGATGTCCCCGGAAGAGGTGGAAAATCCTGGGTATAATCAGTTCTGCGGAATCCAGGAGGAGTAGAAGTCTCCTTTTTTCCACCACTCCTTGATTTGGGCAAGCTGATTTGGGGTTCTTGATCTGCAACTTTCCGCGAACGGATGCGTTTTCGTTTCCGGGCAGAACCTTCCGGAAAACTGAAAGAAACTCCCTCCTCAGCCAAGTCAGAGCCAGACTCGTCATCTGACAAAAGAGCGAAGGGATTTGTTTCGTTGGTCGATGGCTTGGCTGTCTTAAGCATTTCTGCAAAAGACCGCCTGGAACGTTCCTTAAGGGAGCGTTTCATTTTGTCCCCGAGCTGTTTGTACGCCGGGCACGACGAGAGAGCATGAGGAGGAGTTCCATTGCAGTACACGCATTTTGGTGCAGTAGCTGCGCAGGCGCCATCCTCATGCTTCTCCCCGCATGTGGAGCAGCGTGCCTTGTTGCCGCAGTGGGAGGCCGTATGTCCCAACCGCTTACAATTCTGGCAGTTCATGACCCGAGGTACAAACAACCGCACAGGAAGACGAAGTTTTCCCAGCTCGATGTATTGAGGAAGGGCAGATCCAGAAAAGGTCACCCGAAACGAGTCTGTGGGGGTAAAACTCTTTTTACCCTCGCTGAGCGATACTGACTTCATTCTATGAACGGCCAGTATCTTTACCGGAGGAAGCAAAGGGTTCTTGAATCGGCCAACCGCTTGCTTCTCCAGTATCTCGGGGTTCAGGCTCGCCTCAGTGACCACGCCTTCGATCTCCACATCAGAGGCTGGAATGTACACCCTATATTCCAGTGTGAAAAACTGGGAAACAGCAATTTCATTGGCCTGTTTCAGGTTAGCAACGGTCACACGAAGTTTGTTGTGCCTAACCTTCGTTATTTCGGTCACGGCAGAGAATCGCTTTGTCAGATCATCAGATATCTGAACAACATTCAAGGGTTTGTTTTTGGGCTGAAAATAGACAACCCATGGGCCAGTCGAGTCATTCGGGTAGGCCCGCAATCTGGAGCTTTTCTCATCCTGCCCATTGACAGACTGAGACGACGAACCAGGGATGACATCATCATTATTCTGAGATGAATGGTCATCCATGTCGTCTTCTGACAAAACATCCATTTTGTTCAACTAGTGGGAGCGCAAAATGCTCTCCCACTGAACGCACAGACACAATACACAGAAAACACTACAAACACAGAAATACAAAATGAAAATTTAACTAATGGGGGAGGAAAAGAAACAAGAAAAAAAAAACAAAAACTTATCTGATAATTCTATACTACTACCACCGAGCGTTATATGTGTAGGCGTTTACACTGATGGCTGGAAGAGACGCGCTGCGTGGATGACCTTCGTTGTGGTGCACTTGATCGAGGCTCGGTACTCAGCGCACACAGGCGCACGATGATTGATGAACGATGTAGATGTAGAATCGGGTGCTCACACTCGATGAAGATGATACGTGGGCGGGTATGCGTGAGCGCGTATGCGTGACCACGCAACGATGATGCCCAAATTGGTTTGCGAATTACCAATAGCACGGATTAATCGTTCCGAAAATGACACTTTCTACTACAAAAAAACTCACTTTTCGATCAATTTACCGGGAACTATGCCAGGAGTCACTTAGTGAGAAAAAAACTGATAATTTATATCAAGCGAATACCGAGAAAACTTCCAAAACAACGGAGCGCGAAACAAGTCGACCGTACTTCTTGCTAGGACGCAGTGAGATGAATAAATAAATGCTTTCTTAGATATAGTCGCTTGAACATTTTTAGATTATTCGTGACTTTACTGGGAAAAATAATAAAGAAGTGACCTTAAGCGTGAGAGTACACCAGGACGGACTCCTTTAAATAAATTACGCTTCTAATTATTATCTATTTATTTTCTTCATAACCGGGGAATACCGGGGAGAATCATAAGATTATTGAGGGGAATCCTGAAAGTTGCTGTTTTGGAATGATCAATCTTAGAGAAAATCTCAAAGATATTCAGAGAAAAAATTCTAAGAAATGGGGTAAATTGATAGTTGAATAGGGGTTTTGATCTAATTTCCGTCCTACTAAGCACAACCCGCACTTTACCTCTTTTTTAACGGGTTTGAACAAAAAAATGGAAAATTACTCTCAAAGATGACTTCTAAATTTATTCACCTTTCCATATGTGCCATTGAATTTGATAAAGAGTCACAATTTGTTGAGTTATTGTTTAAAATCTAATACTGCTTCTTGATTCTAAATTCGTTCTACGAGTTTCAATTCTGTCCTAACGCATTGAAACGCGATTACATTTTCTTCGTCCTACGGATAAACGTAGAAAAAGGGGATTCGCTAGGAGCGCTTCTTTTGTTTTGAGAACAATGAGCGTAAATATTCATATAATGCGCTCTAATAGGATTTATGTTGTAGCTAATGAACCAACGCATCTGAACAAACCTATTATTGATTTGTGCATGGTGAAATCATTGATATTGTTGACCTTTTCTGTTCGATAGAACGGAAATGGGCGATTACGATGAAGTAGTGCTCTACCCTATGTGCTTGACACCTACACCAATTTCAACACAAACAACGACAGGCTTGTTATATATAAGAACTATAATCAATTTTTTGGAAGACTTAAAAAAAACTTCTGGTTGAATAATTTGTTGTACTACTCATAAAACTAACCGTAGAAATTTTACTTAAGTTTATAAAGTATTCAATTAAGATGTGATATGATACTCAATCAATATGAATACAAGCTGGAAAAATGCAGTGCTTTTGGCACTCAATTTAATTTCCAAAGGTTATAATTGGTGCGTGACATAGCTGGTACACCTAACACTATTACATTAAGGTAAACTAATACAATAGAATATTTCATGTAAAATCAACATACACTGGAATTGATACATTGCAAAACTGCCATCTCTCGATTGTACTTAAGATCATCTATTAATGAATCATCTTCTCACTGCTAGTCGTTATATATCATACAATCAGCATATTCCATCGCTTATTTTGTTTTTCTTTTGTCACAATTTGGTTTTGGTAGATTACGCTTTTGTTTACCGCCCACTTGCGCATGAATTTCATAAGTTAATTTCCAGCTTAATTTATTTTGCTTGTTTTTTACTAATTTCGTTTTATTTCGGTTCTCTTCAACTCATCGCCAAATTAAACAAAATCCAAAATAATCAACTCTAATCGCCGCCAACAACAACAACAACTACTACTTCTACAACTACAACTGCAACACGTATTGCCTCCTGCTTACTGCGATTTTATTTGAAAACAATATCCAATTTGAAACAATTTCAATAACAGTACCGAGCAGCCGTCAGTTCCTCCGCCCAATCCACACCCTCCAAGTCCTTCATCGGCGTTTCGAGCCCCGGCGTCATCAACAACAACAGCAACAACAACAACAATAACAACTACAATATCAATAATTTTAACCATCACAGTAGTAGTAACAATGCCGGCCATCACCTATCGCCTCCTAGCAAAGGTGCTGGCGGCGGTGGAAATAGCAATTCCTCGCCGCACTCGACGGTGTCGAATTCGTCCTCTTCCTCCCACCATAACAGTCCAAACCATTCGATTAACATTAGAAACCTAAACAATCACAACAAACTTCTACATGGTAGCAATAATAACAATCATTTACCTCCCTATCAATTGAACCAACCACACCACCACCACCACCACCTACAACAACAACAACAACAACAACTACTACTGCACCATCAACAATCGCAACCTGCGTCTCTAAACTCCACTCCCGGTGGAATCGGTGCTGGTGGCGGTGCTGGTACTGTCAATTCCGGTGCACCTCCATTGCCTCCGTACGCATTGGCCTTGCAACAGAAGCAACGGAGTTTCCTAACGTTCGGCTTCAGTGCCGGCTCGGGAGGATCCGGAGCTGCCCGGCGGGAAAGTCACGTCAACGTCAACGTGACCCCGACGTCCCACGATGCCGCCTCCGATACGCCCGAAATACGGAAGTACAAGAAACGGTTCAACTCGGAGATCCTGTGCGCTGCGCTGTGGGGCGTCAATCTGCTGATCGGAACCGAGAATGGCCTCATGCTGCTCGATCGGTCCGGACAGGGAAAGGTAACGTTAGATACGTTGTTTTCGGGGAAGTGCAGGATTTAAACAGGACTTGTTGGTTGTTGTGTTCCTTAGGTCTACCAACTGATATCGCGACGACGGTTCCAGCAAATGGAGGTGCTAGAAGGCCAGAACATTCTGGTGACCATCTCCGGTAAGAAGAACCGGGTGCGAGTGTACTACCTGTCCTGGCTCAAGTCGAAAATCCTCCGCACCGATGGAATGGGTGATGTAAGTGTTTTGAAATTTAGCTTCACAGATTTTTGTTAAAGGGATGTTTTTTTTTAAACAGCAACAAGTGGAACGCCGAAACGGGTGGATCAACGTGGGCGACCTGCAGGGGGCGGTCCACTTCAAGATCGTCAAGTACGAACGGATCAAGTTCTTGGTGATTGCGCTCAAGGATTCGATCGAGATCTACGCCTGGGCGCCGAAACCCTACCACAAGTTCATGGCATTTAAGGTAAGAAGGACGCGTTGCTCGTTGGTGAGAGTTCACGGGAGTTTCAGATAATTAACATCTTCACTTTGTTCCACTGTAGAGTTTCGCTGAACTTATGCACCGCCCACTGCTCGTCGATCTTACCGTCGAGGAGCAAACGCGACTGAAGGTGATCTACGGTTCGGCGGAAGGTTTCCACGCGGTTGATCTCGACTCGGCCATCGTCTACGATATCTACCTTCCTAAACATGTAAGTAGTTGGGTTTTAATTAGCGGGCACGCAATAAGCTAATATACCGTAAGCAATAAGCTTGAAATTCGAAGAAGAAGAAGAAGAAGAAGAAGAAGAAGAAGAAGAAGAAGTGCTCTCAACTTAGCGTTCTAGATACACTTCCACCTTGAGCTTGAGCTTGAGCTTGATTGACCGCCCACGGTTGCTACTCTGTTACTGCCAGATCAGCTGTAATTACACAGAGAACCAATAGACGATGGGACTAGCAATCATCCTCAATGTGTAAAAACTGGTGATCTTAAATTAGGCAATACCAGCGCCGGCCGCGCCCGAACACAGGTCAAGAAAGGAATGGGAAGGATTGTGTTGACATGACACTCGCTTTGATGGAAGCCGAGATCACCTCTGCACTTCCACGAGGAATCACTGGGATGTTGGATAAGAGGGTTGGGTTTGCAGCAGGGTTCGTTTTGGTAAACGATAAGCTGAATTGATGTCCTAACGATCATATAACGCGTAGAGCTTGGGACTAAACCCACGGTCTTCTGCTCAGTAAGCAAAAACGTTTGCCACTAGGCAGACGAGCACCTTTTTAATCACCGAGTTGCTGTTGTTACCATGTAGTCATATTAACAAATAAAACGATTGACGAATCTTGAATGTGGATGGGCCTGAGATTAGACTCATGCTGTTCTGCTCAGTAAGCAAAAACGGTTGCTCTAAGGCCACCGAGCCCCTCATATCACATAATACCGTTGCTCAAATTTTTGTATCCATTCAAACCCGGAACCAACGACAACAACGAGTTTCGCAAAATACACGATACACAAGCCATAAATCTCTTTGATATGTAAGGACCTGGGACCGCGTTATTCTGCTCAGTAAGCAGGCCACTGTAACCGACGATCTTTCAAATCCGAAAACTAAAAACTACGAAAAAGTACTTAGGCCTTCATTAAGTTCCGCTTTCGCGCGACGTTCAATGACAGGGTCCTATCCAGGATTACATCTGAAAAATCCAAATCTGGCCAACGCCCACCTAAACCTGTTCTAATCCACCTGAAATGACTAACGAATAGAAGACTTTGACTACCCAGCCATGCAATAGTCTCATTCCGTGCCTTATGGCAACTTGATGATCCTATTGCGCTCATCTTTTGGCACCACCCAGGGGAGACTTGGTCCTGTACCCAATGCTTAACTTATCTCCATTCCACTCAGCTACTCGCAATTTCTTGTGATATAGTGGGCGGAATATTATTATATGAGACAATTCAATGCAGACGACTTTCCAAATTTGGCAGATCGATAGGTAATCGGTGAGTTACCACGATAGTTGCTATTCAACAACTCGACAACGTCCCATCGTCAACGCCTGCTATGAGAATTTCCCATTGCAGACGTCAACGAAATGACGTCATCGAGCTATCGATCAACTACCCTGGTTATCGCCTGGTACCTTATAGCACGTTGCTAGGAGGCGAACCGGAAGAATCGATGAGCTACCTCTCCCCACAGCGTTCTAGATACACTTCCACCACAGACAAACAGACATAACCCTCGCAAGTTTTTCATCGAACAAGCATTTAACGGTCAATTTAAAAGTATCGTAGTTGGTAGTACGGCCACCTGTGGCGCGCATAGTCAATTCCCTTGCGTTTGACGTTTACACACTACCGCCATCTGTTCAACGTACTACCCACCACACTGTACACACTTACTTTTTTCTACCGAGCTCGGCTGTGCAAATCTCGGCAAAACAAGTTTTACTGAGATCTCAGCAAACATTTCATTTGTTTGCTGAGATTCAGCTAAGCATTATCCGAGACTCAGTAATCAAAAGTCACTTTTGCTGAAATCTCAGTGAAACTTATTTTTGCCGAGATTTGCACGAGCTCGGTAGAAAAATCTAAGTGTGTACTCAACAGATGGCGGTAATGTTTTAGCGACGATGTTTTACAGTGAGAAATATTCAATGTGTTATGTCTGTTTGTCTGTGCTTCCACAGTTATTAATTGGTAGCTTTCGATGCCTGTACCACTTTTGAATTAGTATAAATATGTGGCAAGTACAATCATACTCTAGGCCCCGGGGAGGTCGAGAAGTTTTCCAACCCGAAAAATTCCTAAACCGGACCGGGAATCGAACCCTCCAGCATGGTCTTGCTTTATAGCCGACTGAGCTAAAGGGAGGCCCCAGCTTCATGACCATACTTAACCATTAAAAAAATGGCCTTTTCTTCCTCCAACAGACTCAGGGTCCAATCTCGCCGCACTGCATCGTCACGCTGCCGAACTCGAACGGCATGCAGCTGCTGCTGTGCTACGACAACGAGGGCGTCTACGTCAACACGATGGGCCGGGTGTCGAAGAACATCGTGCTCCAGTGGGGCGAAATGCCAACGTCCGTCGCGTACATCGGCACCGGTCAGATCATGGGCTGGGGCAACAAGGCAATCGAGGTTAGTTCCCCTGGAAAAGTAGTCCAAGTCGTCCTGCTCTTCCGTTCACTTACATTTTCCTCTTTCTTCCGCAGATCCGTTCGGTCGAAACGGGCCACCTGGACGGGGTGTTTATGCACAAGAAAGCCCAACGCCTCAAGTTCCTCTGCGAGCGGAATGACAAGGTGTTCTTCAGCAGTGCCAAAGGTGGTTCGTCCTGTCAGATCTACTTCATGACGCTGAACAAACCCGGTATGGCCAACTGGTAAAACCACACAATCCCGGAAGGGGGCGTTCGGAATCGAATGAGTGCGACCAAGAGAGAGATAGAGTCAGTAGCATGTGCATGGCCGGCTTATGGTGAACGTGAGAAGGCGGAAGCATTATTAACTCCTATTATTATGCAACACAGACACACACACTGTTAGTTAAGGTAAGTCATCTGGAGAAAAAGCGTTTACCTACAATTTATGTTCTTTTTCTGTCTGCGAGAGCAAAGTAAAAACAAAATATTAGACGATTAGTTTAGGAACCGGAAAATCTGCAAATCTGCAGGATAGGTGTACATCGTGTTAGTGGAAGCAAGTATAAAGCAAGAAATACAGTCGTATATATTAATTATACCATCTAAGAAATTGGTTACAAATTGGCAAATGTGTTGTGACAAAAGAAGGTGTTCGAATCCCTTTTTGGTCCCCCGTGTAGTAGCTTTTTTCCCCAGTCAAAATGGGGCCATTGGAAAAGACAAGTCGCGCTTCGCTGGAGCTTGGCTTTTGTCCCGCTAATCGGAAATTTTAAATTCAATCTCAAATTTCTGTAAATATATATACATTGAATTTACACAACTCCCCCCTTCTATATACCTGCTTGCTACTTGGTGACGCGAAGCTGAAACTCAAGAACAGAATACGATCGAACAAATTGTGATTATTTATTTGTGTAATCTGCTTTAAATGACAATTATGGATTAGCAGTTTTATCATCCGGTTCTCGATAGACGAAAAAACAAAGCAAAAATTCTGACTCCACAGAATTTTAAACCGATTCCAATTCTGAGTGGACAGTCAGTCAGACTATGGTAATTATTATCTTTGAAGCATCTTAGCGATCTTAGCGCGGATTATACGAAATATAAATGCAAAGGTAAAACGAAGCAGAAGAAGAAGAAGAAAAAAAAAACGGATGAGGTAGAAGTTATAGATTGTATTATATTTTTGTTTGTTTTTTATAGAAATGCTTATTTTTTATACACACTTTATGCGTCAGAATAATATTTTTTATTGTTTGTTTCCTATTTTTTATTACTATACAAAACCCTCTACAACAATACTTTCTCGCTTATAATCGTGCTGTATAAATGAGAAAATCTGCCACAAGAAAACATAAAAATGCCACGATTCTTACGTAAAAAAGGATGAGCTATTATTATTATTTTTGGTGACCTTTAACCGGTCCAACACTCACAGCGGAAATCGTTTTGATTTTTTTTTTAAATATTTTGTTCATCCCAAAATTTAAAAAAAAAATAACATTTCCTTTAGAATTTGGTGCTTACCTCCCTGAACCGCTTGTTTGGACGTTCGCCTATAGTTTTTTTTGTTGCCAAAAATACACCTTTTTTAGTTTGACCGAGCCTGGTGGGAAATAATGTCAAATAGCCCTCAGTTTTCCGAAAAATGAATCAGAGTAGATTTTCGTACTACAACAACGCATTAGCAATCAATAATATGCACTACTGATTAAACACTTTCCTATTTTGTAATTGTTCATGAGCGGTTGGGTCATGATGTCCCACTCTCGTTTCTAATAAGTGCCATTTTCTTCTGTTTTTACTTATTTTACCTTTAGTCTTCCGTGTGCAATAATTCCACTCAAACCATACAAGTCCGATCCCTTTTTGGCGAACACCTCTGATTGAAATAAACACACTCACTCAAATCGACGGCAACTTTTGCTTTGGTCAATCTTACCGTAAACAACAATAACAACAACAAAAGTCTGATCTTAAACTATCCCTAGACTCGATCCTACTACTACCACTTTCCGTCGAATTTCCCTCGTTCGACACACGAGTTCTGCCAAACGGCCACTTTGCGCCAAATGGACAAATTTCTTGCATTTCCACGGTTTTAAATCCACAAGAACGACACACAGTAGAAAAGCAAACAAACAAGTTTAGAAATCAAACACTAGCGACAGTGAACTGCACGCATTTAGTAAAATAATTACAGTTGGTAAAAGAAAACAGAAAACAGTAGCGAACAATAGGTAATTAATTAAGACGACAAGTTAGATACAATTTTTAAACAGATCAAATCAATCATGGAAGCAAGAGAGAATGAATAGGAGTAAACAATCGAAAGGGTAGAGAGAGTTTTCTATGGGTTCAATCGCCATAACGCGGATACGCAGAAAGGATCGTGTAAAGAAATGCCTTCAATCAACAACATTAAACAAAAGTGACGAAAACAAAATAAACAGAATCAGTGATAGGATTACAGACAGAAACACATCGCTTACCTATGTAATGTTTTATTTTAATTTCGATTTTCGAACAACCCTTCCGTTGGAAATAGTTTATTATATTTTGCATTTCTAACTGGACTCTTCAGAAGTGCGGAATCGCTGATAAAAGTGCGATTTTACGATTTTTGGTGTTTTCACGACGTTCAATACGATTTAACGTAAAACCGTACTTTTATTAGTTTTTCCGCTATACTCTCACATACACATACATTCATCGTACACACGTCAGAATAAAAGTTGTTTTTGTTTAGGTGTCAACCGAGGCATTTTCATCCAACATTGTTGTAGTAGTCACACCATGCTCTCATATGTCCTCACAAGTATAGCCAATCTACCATTTCATAACCCTCCCCCCATTATCACAAATTGTACGAAAACGAATCGAATACACACATACAGACACAAACACACGTCCTAAAATACACACAGACACATGCACTAACATACAAATACAAGTATTCTTAGCGAACACACAGAATTATCTCTTTCATATCTTTATTACGGTAGGAATACATTCAATCATCCACACCCATACACAAACAAACCCTTATCTGTGGTCGAATGTGAGATTAGGAATAACAAAAAAAAAAACTATACACACTCTCACATAAACCAACAAAAACGTATTCATTCTAATTCATTCAACCATTGAACAAAACAAAACAAAACATAATAATAAATTACAGTGAAAAGCAGAGAAAACGCAACCTTTTTAAAGATAAACAAACAAAAGAAAACACAAAAAATAAGTAAATAATAATTATGAGCATATAAACGAATTGAAAGTATAAAACGTAAACACACGCTAAATGGCTGAGGAAGAGTAAAAAAAAAGAAGAGAGAAGTGTTAGGGAAAAAGCTGAACAGTAATGCAGTACATGGCAAACGAACCGAAGGGTTAAGCAAAAAGTCTATACAAAACACACAAAAAAACGTGCATGCATCTTATACATATAAAAGAAAATAATGTAATTGTATCAACACACACACAGACACAGCCAGGCACACTTTCGAGATTGTGACTAAAAGAATAAAACAGTGCGACGACGAAAGGAAAGTGGCAAGAACTACATTGTTGAGCGCCCAATTAGTGAACAAACAAAAAAAAAAACATGATAAACAAACGGGAATAATTGAGCAAACGATGATGAAGATGATGCTGATCAAGAAGAAGATGAAAAAGAAATGAGGAAAAAAGAACATTAGACAGTAATAGGAATATTTATAATAAAAAATGATTAAAACGAATACGATACGGAAACGCGTGCTCATGTTGTCCGAAATTTCCTGCTGAATCATTGTGAGTCGTTGTTATACTCTGAAATCTTCAGGGTGCATTCCGAGTCCCGTTTTGGCGGGATTTTTTTATGAGGCACTTCAGAGGCCTTAGGGAAAAGTGTTGCAGTTTCGCCATAGGGGCAACATGGCCAAATCTACTAATTGTCAGCTAGTAGGGTTTTTTAATCTAATTTCCGTCCTACTAAGCACAACCCGCGCTTCCTTTTTTTAACGGGTTTAAACAAACAATGGAATATTTCTGTCAAATATGACTTCTAAATTTATTCACCTTTCCATACGTACCATTGGATTTGATAAAGAGTCACAAATTATTGAGATTTAGCTTAAAATCTAATACTGCTTCTTGATTCTAAATTCGTCCTTCGAGTTTCAATACCGTCCAAATGCATTGAAACGCCATTAGATTTTCTTCGTCCTACGGATAAACGGAGAAAAAGGGGATTCGCTAGGCGCGCTTCTTTTGTTTCGAGAACAATGAGCGTAAATATTAATACAATGCGCTCTAATAGGATTAATGTTGTAGCTAATGAATTAACGCATCGGTATAAACCTATTGTTGATTTGTGCACGGTAAAATCATTGATATTATTGATCATTTCTGATCGATAGAACGGAAATGGGCGATTACGACGAAGTAGCGCTCTACCCTACATTTGTTAATTTATTTGATTGTTAAAATCACCAGGTTCAATGCAACCCCAATGATGGTATGCCTTTTCAAACCAGAATTGGGGCTACATTACGCCTGTCGATGATGACAATCAATAAAATTAATAAATTAGGTAGATAACCCATCTTAGCCCGTGACCCATCTTGCCCCACCTTATCCTATATATTTTTCAATAATCTTTTGTCAGCGTAATGACCAGAGAGGTCAAGACATTTTTCAACCCGAAAAATTCCTAGACCGGACCGGGAATCGAGCTTAACCCAAGCCCAAAATGGCCGAACTTTAGCAAAAATGTGAATGACTGTCCATAAAAGCAATTGTGCGAACTTTTATGCAAATCGGAAAAAGGTTGCGTCTGATTGATTTGTTATTTGGTGTGGAACTACTTTGAATCTAGAACCAGAGTTTTGAAACGAAGTCTCCGAACCTTGAAAAAAATGTTTGATCCTGGATCTTGAATTTCTGTGTAGGGAATCTTGAAAAATGTTCAATGGTTGAATTGGCTAAATTATTTCCTTAGAAATTATCTCAGAATATCGGATCGAAGAAGGCTCTGCTAGAGTACGGTTCGGATTTCTTGCGCTATAAATCGTTTGCATAAAGTTCAAACGCACATTTTTCTTTTGACCAGTGTTAAAAGTGTGGTCTGTGAAAAACATCGTTACGGTCACAAATTCCTTGAACCTTCGGGTCGTTTTGCAAGCCGCGAAGTGATTTTTTGGTTCAAATGAGAAAAGGTGGTTGAACTACAGTTAGTGCTGATTGGGCAAACGCGGTAAAATCACCGACAAACCGACATGAAACTTAAACTTAACTCTTAATCGAGAATCCATAACGGCGGATTCAAATGTGCAACGATCCTATCTGTCAAAACCATAGATTTTTTTTTTGTCTAGATGAAAATAATATGCCAGGAATAGATTTGACACGAACCAACTCATACATTTTACACTGGAGTCGCTTTTTAAACGGTTTTTTTTTACACGGTTTTTTTTACGCGGTTTTTTTTTACGCGGATTTCGGAATTTACGCGGTTTTTTTTTACGCGGATTCCGGAATTTACGCGGTTTTTTTTTACGCGGATTTTGGTTTTTTTTTACGCGGATTTCAGAATTTACGCGGTATATCGCTTTTTACGCGATTTTTTCTTACACGGTCTTTTTTTACTCGGTTTTTTTTTACGCGGATTTCGGAATTTACGCGGATTCCGGAATTTACGCGGTTTTTTTTACGCGGTTTTTTTTTACGCGGGACGTATCACCCGCGTAAAAAGCGACTCCAGTGTATATGCGTGTTCGTGGCTAGGGTAAACATTTTTCGCGAACACGGCGACAGATGTCAGTTTTGTGCTTTGATCAGAAATTTGATGATACTTTGTATGGTCATTCATGTCGATTTGTCGGTGGTAAAATGAAAACAGAAGAGAACGAAGATCCGTGCGAGCTGTGTGATGAAGCCGAAGCGTTTGGCGCAGGACAACAGACAGCAGCTAAAGGGCTACTGGAATGGCTCGTGAAATAGAGAAGTCCGGAAAAGCTGATCACAGTCAAGATGGCCAGTTTTAGTGAGATCATTCCATTTTTATCTATAAATTAGGAATTTGGGGAACATTGGATGCATTTGGTGAGATCCTTCAATTATACTATATTATATAAACCATTCACATATTCAAGTTACAGATGTCTTATGATAATGCTCAATCAACTGTTCAGCAGGCAACATTGGTGTTTATGGCGCGTAGAATAGAAGACAAAATCATGGCTACTATGTCACACTGCAGAATACAGTGTTGCCCACAATACAGTTGCTTAATCTTGGCATAATATTATCAATCTCTTAAACAATTAATAACTATTTAATTTGACTTATTAGGTTGAAAAACGACTTTCTGCAACGTTGTAGCTGATAAAATTTCCCATAAGAATAGCAATATAACTTGTTAACAGTACAATATGTAAAAAGGCAACAAAAAACAAAAAAAATTGTTTTCTCATAGTAATTTCCATATAAACTTTAAATGGTTTGTGCCAAGTCAGTTTCTTATCAAATGAGTTTAAACTTTCGGAGGCTAATCAGGACCCGATTTGAAACCGTTTAAGCACTGTGGAGAAAAATTTCAATTTTTGCATCAGTCTAGTACACACTTAGAAATTATTATTTTTACATGAGACGTAATTCAGCTTTGACGTAAATCATGGAACGTAAACAAACATGGTATATAAAATTAAGTGTCCTGAAACTGAAACACATGCAACTCGACGAAAAGTGCGTTTGATTGAATTTATTTTCTAGTCCTTTTTAACTTATTCTTATGTCAAAAGGGCCACTTGCATGTGTCGATATCAGGGCACTGAAATTTACATGTCTTTTTCGTAGTGAGTACTTCCTAAAAATGTAGATCATTTTGGGAAATCCCACCAGAAAACACTTGAAAATAACTACATTTATCTTCCTTTTTTTCCTTTGGTTTGTTTTTTCCGTCGATCTTGTTTTCCGTGCTGAGCACCAATGCTACCAACGTGCCTGACCCACCAACTCATGACCCGGGGACCAACGGCTTTACTTCCCATCCGAAGGAAGGCGTGATCAGAGATGTTATGCCTCAGAACATCCCGGCGGCGCCGACTGGGATTGAACCCAGACCTGCTGGGGTGAGAGGTAATCACGTTTACCACTACACCACCGTCGCCGTTCCATTTATCTTCCTATTTTTCATAATTTTCACTATATTTTTTCTGCATAATTTTCTCTACAATTATTTTTGAATATTCCTTAAAAATCTCTTGGTATGCCCTTTATAATTTGAAAAGCATTCTCCCAAAATTTTCGTGGATTTCATCTCTGGATTGGATAAGTAAACATTGATCTGTCACCGAACGTCGAGTGTACTTTGTGGATAGGGTTGTAGTACCGGTATCGGTTTTACCGGTAATAACGGTATATTTTCTGGTACCGAAATACCAGTACCGGCGTGTGAAATTACCGGTATTGTCGGTACTGGTCATTTGAAAAATGCAATACAGTGCTTTCCAGATTTTGTCTACCCCCGATTTTGTCAGTTTGCAGATTTCACTATAATGTTCAGTTTTTAATTTGGTAATTTGGTGAGATCTTTTCATATTATTTTACTGACAATGGATATTCCAAATCGTGTTTTACTTTATGCTTTATTAAATACGCGCTGGATTCAAAGCATTCCATTAGCCATGTGATATCGGAACTGTAGACATGTGGAGCTTATGGCTTCTGAAAGTGACTTCGGATTTGGTATGAATTATCAAAAATTTTAAAATGGGTTTCTGGACCAACAGTAGAGCTAGAACCTTCTAATTCCCGGACTAAAGCTGCTTTCAGTTATCTCTAATATGATAATTTCAAGTATATTTCTTCCATAACACCACTTGCAAGAAATGTTGCAAACAATATTTTGAATGTTAACTTGTATGATACATGACGCTCCTTTTATATGCATCATAGTGATAGAAATTCACATTACTTTTTTCAACTGTGTAGGCTAAGAACCATTTTCAACCAACTTGGCCAAATTCGAGAACGGTTACTCTCAAGGAAATGATCAAAATGTGTTTTGAAATAGAATTCAGCATGAGACATTTTTATTGTATTATACTCAATTCTGTAACGCGATTTTTTTTTCGTCTATTTTTAATCGTGTAATCTCAAATTGCTACCAAGTATATCTAAGGAATTTCGTGATCCTCTGTGTTTTAAAGCCCTTTACTGTTCATTGATACGCTCACTACTGGAATTCGCGTGTGTTGTCTGGAAGCCCTACCAAGCTGTATGGAGTGGACGATTCGAAGCTGTTCAACGCAAATTCGTCAGATACGCACTGCGCTATCTTCCATGG